ATACATACAACAACACTTATGCCAAAATGATGTAAATAAAATGGTTGAATTAACCGATATAAATTCCTATGATGTAATTTAGATTATACTCTTTCAAAATGATAACCCATCTTGTTGAGAGCCTAAGAGAAGTGATTGTCAATGGACTAAAATCTTTTCATGCTATACCAGGCTTATTATTTAATAAGCACTCAACAAGCTTCAATTTTTATTCTAAAATGACATGCCAACTATTGATGACCCTCATATTCTTAACAAATGTTTATCTTAGGAATTAATTCAATAACAAACTCATTTTCAAAAACTTTTGAAATATATTTTATTTTTTGAACTAATTTTTCTGGAATCAAATATATCTTCTATGTTTTTGTTTGGAATAATGGAAAATGAATTAAAGGAAGCATTTATTATTCTTTTGCCTATCTATCATCTACTAATCTTTGACTACAGGGTTCTATGTACACAAATGTAGAAAATGAGACCATTATTATCTATTATAACTTTGAAAAGATTTAATATAACGTTTTGAAAAATGCACAATAAAAGACTCAATGGTATCAAATTAGGGTATATATTATTTTCTTTGATGATAACACTATTTTTATGGGAGATTGGTCTTTCAAACATTCTAAATATATCATCCACGAACATATACCTCCACGTTGCTTTGATTTTAGAAATAAAACTTTTAAATTGTAAAATGTTTGGTGTTAGGATTAACTTCTTTAAAGTTGGAAGAATGCTAATCCTCCAAGCTCGATAATTGCATATGTTTTCTTATTGGAACGAATATGTCATCTATTATTCGATGGTCCATAATGAAACCTTATGGAAAAGATTTCATACCAAAAGGTGAAATCTTTATTGATTGGATGTACCCTCACCTTATTAAATATTTCCTCCGAATTTTATGTTTTTATAATTTCTTTATTTTTTTAGATTACTTGGGTTGAAACTTGTTTCAATAAAAAGGAAAAAAAAACGTATGGAACAAGTAAAAAGAAAACATGAGAGTGAAAGAATTGAAACAAATATATTACTTGAACAAGAATAAACTGAGAAAAGATTCTGCATAAAAAAAATTACCACACCATCGATCCTATTTATACTAAACAAATAAGTATTCTAATTGAATTCTACAACTATGCACGAGATAAAAAAAACTTAAATATGGATACTTTCCTAAAATGCCATTTATTTAAACTAAACAAAATAAACTCCAAAAATAAAACTGATTAATCCAACAATCACCCCCTTAATTGGATTGGTCATACAAGCCACTCGTTCAAAACAATGTCGGTTCCTCTTCTATTAGAACCACTTCTTCCTTTTCCCATTTAGGACACTCGTTTTTATAGTGCCCAATCTCACCACATTTGTAACATCTAACATGAATTTTATCCTAAATACGTTCATTACCATCTCAACTTCTCCCGGACTCTAGACCTCTTCCTTGGTCATGTCCAAACTCATCCCGATTTGAACGTCCATTGCCACAATGCTTACAAACATGTGAATTTTCCTCACTAGCCAACAACAACCACGTTGAGTGTCCTCCACTTTCTCGGTTCCTCTTATACCAACCACTTAATCGAATAACTTCGAATCCAACTCGAAACATTTCTCTATTGAAGCCACGATTTGAAGAAATGACTTAGGCATCAAATCAAGTAACCTTTTCACCAAACCAACTTCTTGAAGCTCGTAAATAAGACTCATTACTTTTGATGCTAAACCGGATAATTTTGTCAAAAAATTATCAACCGTTTCACCCTCTTTCATGCGTAAACTTTCAAGCTCTCTTTTTAAGGTTGCGAGTGGAGCTGTTCTCACCTGATCCACTCCTAAATACCATGTTTTTAGCCCATCCCACACTTGATTTGGGTCGGTGTAACTCACTATTTACAACATGATATCTGATGGGTTTTGAGCACTACATCAATCATGCGCTGTACATGCAAACCCCAATGCTTTGGATCTAGTTTGTCTAATGAACATGCAATTGAATATCCAAAGCTATAAACCCCAGATCTAACATATTATAAACTGAATTAGGGTTTAGAGAATACCTTTGATTATTATGTAGCAATAACAATCTATTCCTTCCTTTGATTGGCTTCAGAAAGCTTAGTGCCTAAAGTGTTGCACCTCTAATGGAGTCACAAACACCATAAGCAACCAGGATGATGAAAAGAAGAGAGGACGCAGCCAAAAATGTTTAGAAACCCTAAAGGAAGTCTGCGCCACGTTTTTGGGGCCATAGGGGTCCTTTATATATGTAGGCTATTAGGGTTTGCAACTATGAAACCCTAATCTAATTGCTTAAGCCCTAAGCAACCCATGGACTCCTTTAAAATACCTCTTGGATGAATTCCTTATGGGCTTCCCATAGAATTCATCCAACCTATATTCCAACGTGATCCATAACCCAATTGTAATTATCTTATAATTACAAACCCAATACCCTAAGTTTAATTAATCTCTTTTAGCCACTAAATTAATTCTTGACTGATATTAATTAAACAATATCTTTTTTTCTTTAACATATTGTTCTTATAATATATTAATAAATCGTAATCAAACCTTTCTCTTTACATAATTCATCCTATAATTTGCTATGGTGAAGGCAACCCAAAAGGACCATGCTCATAATCGGGTCAAGTACATAACAAAATAGTTATGGACTTAGACACTAATCCAAAAGTCTCCCACCTGGATAAGTCTAATAACTATTTTGCATAACTTCAGAACCTAATCAGCAATCATAGCTTTCAAAAGCCGATGTCAACTCTGATCTTATCAGATACGCGTGTCCTTTAGATAAGGGATTATATAATCCTCCATTCTCAAGATATCGTATAGACATGAGACATGGATTTAAATCATTCTCTATGTCTATGTATTGTTTCCCGACATCTAAGTTATGATGACTGACAACAAACTACAATTGAATATATCAACTTAGTCTCGTCTTGGCAAAGCGCTTAGGGGTGTCATCACTAAATCATCGAAGGGCCCACAGATATCGCTTTTATCCCACTTTGGGTAAAAGGAATGAATAAACTTTGACTTAAATGCTTGCTTGCACATACTAATCGAATCACATACAACAATAAGTTTTATAACACCAAGTTACTAGTGCGTTTACTTATCATCAATGTGCAACCAACCAGCAAATAACAACTCACACATCTCGGTTTCAAGAATATACAATGTTATCATCTCACTTATCACCCGTGATAAATCCATGAAGTGATTCAGGTAAGCATGGGTTTAATCCAATACTTTAATCTTATCAAAGCACTCAACAACTCTGCAGTAGACTTGTGTTATGTCTAAACACTTTAGACAATCTACAGACATATTCATGACAGTTTTTCTTTATACATACTTCCAATGTATGATCGACTGTGGAGGTTCGAATAACCTTGTTATTCTGAATAACCTTGTTATTCTGGAAATCAAACATGCAAAGTGAAACACAACGATAATACTTAATCCTATATGGTCCCAAACTTTTGAGTATAAATAAAGCACCTTTTATTTAATCACCATATTGATTACTCATTATTCATTGTTTAATGTTTCAGATAATCAACTTGACACTTGAATTATACTAATAATTGTCCCATGCTCCAAGCATGCACACTTTGTTTACCTATGGTCCATACTTTGTGAAATAGATCAATTGAAAAACTTTTTCCAACGAAACTCATTTCACAGTCCCCAATCCTTATCATTAGTGTAAGAATACCAAGTTCTTGCCACTTTTAGAATATGTCAGATTCTAACATTTTATGCAATGATCCTTTTGTGAAGTCACATCACAAAAGTTACAAAAAACCCGGCCAATGAAATCACAAGGTACTCTATCAGAAATCGTTACAAAACAATTCTATAGATGTGATGTCTCTCATTCAAAGTACATTCCTTTGAACATCCTTTTTGCATAAAATTTTCTAATCTAGACATAAATTCCTAATTTCCAACTCCCAATTATGGAAACATTTCCATATTTGTCATACTATTAAGTGATTCATGGCCAATGTAGCCTTGTGTTCCTCTTGGCTTCCGCATATGTAAACATGCCATTGGGTTTGGTTAGGTGAGTTCGAAAAGATATCTCTTTTCGACGTGATGCTTATATTCTCTTAGAGCATCTAAAACTTTCAAAACGGAGTTCGAGGGATGTACTCTCAAAGAGATACCATTTTCGATAACAATATGATTCAATCGTTTTCATGAATATCTAATAGATGTAAAACTTATTATTCAGACATGCATATTTGGAGTCCCTATTTGGTTTTCTTTTTATGTAACCTTTTATTACTATCCTATAGGATATGTATTTTAATTGACTTCTCATGATGTTCTAAAAAATAAATATATTTTTTTGAAGTAAGTTTTTTCAAATGTACCTTTGGTTATTATGCTTATGTTTTCTCGAAGTTCAAAATCTTCGATTCTTTTAACAAACAACTTTTTCTTTTGAAATGAAACTGATATAAAGTTTTTCCATCTTCCTTATCACACGTCTGGTCCTCAAATAGAACCCTAATTATATTCATCTATAAGTAATATCATTGAACATTTTACCACTTTGTTCCCTGGTTTTATCTATGTTTAAAAAATTATAATCAATAAAAAGTGTATATATTAAGTTAACCTAATCTACCCGATATATATATATATATATATATATATATATATATATATATATATATATATATATATATGTATATATATATATATATAGAGAGAGAGAGTAAAGAATTTTTGCCCAACAAAATTATTTTAGGAAAAAAAGCCTCGTAAATATTGTTTCACAACCAGCCATTCATTAATTCATTTTATATTTTTGAAGAATTTTAATCATTATGAAAATGTGATATAATTAAGAAGGTTAAATGTTATGTTGTTATTCGATAATTAAATCCCTAATAACACATATATAATTTCGATGGAATTAAATAGGTGGAAAAGTAAGCATGGGTAAGAGTATGGAAGGTATCAACCATTACAACACGTTAATTAATGAGTTATTAGCTAATGGTATTGAACCATTTGTCACCCTATTTCATTGGGATCTTCCTAATGCATTGGAAGAAGAGTACATGGGATTTTTAAGTTCTAAAATTGTGTAAGTCTTTCTAATATGATTATATATATGCATTTTTTCCTTTTTAAACTCTAAACTGATTATTTCAAGAATTAGGGATGACTTCCTTAACTATGCGGATATTTGTTTTTGGGAATTTGGAGATCGAGTAAAGAATTGGGTAACAATAAATGAACCAAATATATTCACCACCTTGGGTTATGTACAAGGTCAAGGGGCACCGGGTCGAGGTGGAGAAAATGAAGATTGTGACCCTCAAACAGAACCATATATAGTAGCATATAACATACTAAATTGTCATGCAACTGCTTATAGAAGGTATTATGAAGATTATAAGGTATTACTTAAAACAACATGTTCGATTTATTTGAACATCTTTATAAACATTTAACGGTGCAAGAATAACCTAATTTCTTATACCAATGATGGTCTTTTAGGATACCCAGAAAGGTAAAGTGGGAATTACCCTCAACTGCGGTTATTTTCAACCTTATCGCGGTGATAGTTATAAAAATGATGTCCAAGCTGTTACATACGCATATGATTTTACGATTGGATGGTAATTGAAATATAAATGTTAATAATTCTTAGAAGAAAAACATCTACTTAGATCATCCACAATGCATTTTTAATGGAATGGTCAAATGAGATGGAATACCTAGTTACAGATTAAAACCAACTATTGTGGGATGCCAAGTTAGCAATGAATTTGGATTTTAATGATCTTTGAATTGTAACATTGAAATAAATACTTTTTTTATTAAATATGTTCCATTGAATGTCGCATACAAAATGGAATGTTAGTATGTCAACCCATTAACATTTGTAAAGAAAAATTCATTGTGGATGCCCTTGTGATATTTGATTTTCTAAAAATAATATATATATATATATATATATATATATATATATATATATATATATATATATATATATATATATATATATATATATATATGCGTGTGTTACAATGACACATATTTTAGGTTCCTTGAGCCATTAACAAGAGGTACTTGGCCTAATAACATGGAAAAAATCGTTGCGACTCCTACTATTGATCATCCAAATGGTCGTCTTTTGCCGAAATTTTCTACTAATCAAAGTAAAAAGTTGATTGATTCATATGATTTCTTGGGAGTAAACTACTACACTGCATATTTTACACAATATCAAGATCCTTCTGATGCAATCCCTCTTGGATATTCTACAGATTGTCACTATACGGTTTCAGGTATGGAAAAACTCTTACCTTTGTTTACAACAACTTTTACTAAAGGTGGAAAAATAATTATCATATCATCAGTTTGGAAGTGAATTATAAAAACATAGAACTGAGCATACATAATATTGACATAGTGACATCTACAGTTAATGTCATGTATATGTAATAAAATATTTGTTTATTCACAAAACATATTTACTTTAATAATTTTTATTATTATAAGGTAATGAATTAGAACTTTGTGATTATATAATAAGCTATTTTAATGGTATTTTGTGAATTAGAAAAATAGTTCATTACCTATTTGTGGTATTGTTTGAGAATGATGATTATTAGAAAAAGAACATATAGTTTGTTACCCATTTATGAAAATATATCCTTTATTCTATTAGGCTTCATATTAAATTTCCACACACTTTCTATATGTTTATAAATTAAGTAGATGTAAACAAAGTATCTTATACAACCAAGTTTTCAATATACATTGTCATGGTTCATTACATATGACTCAATGTTGTCTATTTGTGTTTTTAGGACAAGATCCCAGTGGAAACTATATTGGAGAGCCGGTAAGATAACTTTATACATATACAATGATATAATTAAATACATATTTTGAATTTTTATTTTTATGATGGTTAATCGATGGGAAATGTATATTAATAGTCGTATCAGGGTTCGTGGATTTATCTTTGTCCTCAACAACTTACAGAACTTTTAATTTACATTAGAAGAACCTACAATGTTACTAAAGATATGATCATCACAGAGAATGGTAAAACTATACTTGTCATGTTTGTTTATATTTGCGAACAGCTTATGACTCACATTTTCATGTTTTCTGAATTCTGATAGGGTCTTCTGATAAGAATGAGACTGGTAAAACATATGAACAAGTGCGTGATGATGAATATCGGATCAAATACGTTAAGGAACATCTTAAAGCTATTAGATTGGCTCGAGAGTAAGTCAAGTGAATATATTTGTGTAATGTAAAATTAATTACAAAACTTAACCCTAAGAATGTTTGTTATATAATCATTACAGAAATAATATAAACGTGATGGGATACTTTATATGGTCATTCATGGATAGTTTTGAATGGGATTCTGGGTATACTAATAGATTTGGTATGATCTATGTTGATTTCATGAAAGACCTTCAAAGGTACCCAAAAAAGTCAGCAATTTGGTTTAAGAAGTTCCTTGGTGAAGACAAAATAATTCCAGTTAAAAGAAGCATCACCGATCGTGAAGACGGACATAACTTTGAGAAGAATTCAAAGAAGGCGGGAAAACCAATCGAAGCGAGCCAAAAGATGAAGAAAGCCAAAACATGAAAATGATGGAGCTAAATCTTGTATCCTGTTACATGGTAAGTTATATATAGGGAAGTTTCAAATTTGTGGAATTATTGTTATGAGTTTAAATAAACCTAATATGTGTTTAATGATTGTAATGTGATTACTAAACAAATAAAGATCCCATGTAAATACCATGAGATATCTTCATTCTCCTAAAGTTTTAGGTAGTATTTATTTTTAAATGTAAAATGTGTATAATATTTTGTCATGTCTATAAATAGACGTGGAGCCAAAGTCTACATACTATATAAAAAAAAGACTATTTTTAAGTATATGAACTAGTTTTTTTATCTAAGAAACACAAAACGAATGAAAACAAGAAAAAAAAAAGATCAAGATATAACCAACGAAAAAAAGTAAATAAAAAAATTAGGAAATAGCAAGAAAAATAAATTGAAAAAACAAACAAAAAACCATATAAAAAATAAACAAATGTTTTTATGTGTTTTTTCTTGAGACAATTTTTTCACATATAACCACCACTGTAATCATTATTTTTTGAACATACATTCTATTGGTTATCACCAAATAAGCACTCAGTTTAAAAAAATAAGAGTTTGCAATATTATTTTCTAATAATAACTTTAAAAACATAATATTTTGTAAATTATTAGTACGGTAAACGGCACTGATCGTCTTAGTGGTTTGGTTAATATACACATTTTCTCCATATATTTTATTTTTCACTTGAACCATTCCTAGTTAGACTTGAAATTGGAAGTTGCATCACTACCATACATGAAGTGACTGTGCTGCTCTTATATAGTTTTTTGTATTGTAACAACCATAAAATTCAAGACAATTTAAAACTTTTTAAAACATTTAAAAACCAATAGTTATTATAAATTTGTTTTCAAAATAGTTCCAGATCAGAGTATCCCAGAAACAAAGTCATAAAATGTGAGGAGCTATACGATCACACATTCGCCTTTCCGCGATCATCTGAGCTACCTGAAACCAAAACCAAAACTATAGTCCATAACTTAGTGAGTTCCCCCAGTATACCCATACACATAACAATATATATATATATATATATATATATATATATATATATATATATATATATATATATATATATATAATCATGAACAACATACTATAGGTCCAGTCAACCATCGGGTTGGAATACCCCAGGTCCTCAACCATCTGGTTGGAATGCCAACATATTGTGGGTCCAATCATTCTCAGGATGGAATACCCTAGGCCCACAACCAACTGGTTGGAATGCCCACATACTACGAATCCAATCATCCTCGGGATGGAATACACACAGCCCACAACCATTGGGTTGGAATGCCCATGTCTATTGGATTTTGCACAAAGCAGATAATCCGAAATTACCAATCAAACATGTGCATATATATCATCTAATCACATAACAATCTATAGATAGACAAACCGATCTATTTGATCATAGTAACATATAACATCCTATCTGTCACACCCCCAAACCAGATGGCGGAAATGTCCAGGGGTGGAGGACTTCATTTGTAGTATCACAACACATGCATCATAATAATCAAAGTACAAACAACCATTGTAGTAAAATGTATAAGTATTTACATGTGTTCAATCACTGTGTATTGACACCAAAATAGTTATAGCAAAAGACATAAAATATGAATCAAAACAACCCCATCTTGTCAAAAGCTCGCGGAGTACCCGTTTATTGATTCTCTGAGAATACAAGTAATTTGAAAAGAGAGTATCAACATAAAGTTGAGTGAGTGCATGAGTATTTATGTCTGAAAGTATGTTTTCTGTTCTTTGAATATGTAAACTGTTCCAGAAAATCCTATATTTTCTGTTGTATATGAAAAGTAGTTTTAATCCCATAAAATCGTTCTATTTATAAATCATTGTTCTGTGTTTGTATCATTTTGTAAAACCTATAAAAGTGAATGTGCTTGGCTCCCCCAGCTATTATTGTAAACAGTAATGTAATACTGTATCTGTATCTCTTTAAACTAGTACTTTGAAAATGTACTCATGTTTAGTTAATTATACACTAACGTATTGTTAATATCTTTTTAACGAGTTATTATTGTTGGGTTTTGAGCATTCTAACACTCCTATGGTGTACATGAAGCCCTGAATACCTTAGATCTATGTTTTCTCTAATATACATGCAAATAATAATATTCCAAGGTATTACCCTATCTAGCATACAATCATAGATACTTGGGTAACAATATAGATAGAATACATACCTCTTGTAGTGTTTCTTGACTCCATGGGGCTTGAGTGCCTAGTGCCTCAAATGTGACACCTCAAATGGCTCACACAACATCAAATTCTCTTAGAATAACATAGAGAGAAATCCACACTTCATGAAATCGGCTAGCCCTTCTTTTACGCACACTAGTGCACGATTTCTTGAGCCATGGGATTCTTTTATATGATGGCTATTAGGGTTACACCATGTAACTCATAACTTTACCCATTCCTTATGCTCCATGGATTTGATGGGTTTTATACAAACAATCCTAAGTGTGCATGCAACCGTAGTTTGGATCTATGTTTTCACTATTAGATACACAACATTATGAACACAAGAATAAAACCCTAATGTGCATTACTATTTTTGAAATTAACATACAAAGGTTGGTTTACATACCTCTTGTTGTTATATTGCAATAACAACTTAAATCTTCAAATCCTAAGTCTTGAAAGCAAGCACCACAAGTGTAGTGCCTCTAATGGCTCACAAACACCACAAGCAATTGGAGAGGCTTAAGATAGAGGAGGGAGGAGTTGGAATTCGTCCTTGGGACCTCTTAGGAGCATGTACACGAATTCACAAGGCCTAGGGGTCTTTATATAGAGTTTAGATTAGGGTTTAAGTCCTTATCCTTATCCAGTTACTTGCCCACCAAGCAACCACAAGATAAGCCTTGACAACCCTTATCCTCTTATCCTTGGACGATTTTAAGGATATCCTTATCCTTAAATTCGTTCATCCTTTAACAAGGATAAATATTGCCCTATCTTGCAACTATCTTATAATTACAATTCAGCCCCTCTAGTTTAATTAATTACACTTGATCACAAAATTAATTCCTAATTAATTATTGACCAATATTAATTAAACAAATATGATTTTCCTTTAATATATTATTCTTATAACATATTAATAAATCACAATAACCTCTCTCTCTATTTAATTTCTCCAGTCAAATTGCTTTGGTGAAGGCAACCCAAAAGGACCATGCACAACCGGGTCAAGTACTTACCAAATATGGTTACGGGCTTAGACACTAATCCAACAGTCTCCCACTTGGATAAGTCTAGTAACCACAAATGTAACGTGCAACCCGATTAGCAATCATAGCTCTCAAAGACGCTGTCAAACTTTGATCTTATCAGTAACCTGTCCTATAGATAAGGGATCATACAGTCCTCTATTAGATATCATGCTGACAATTCTATGGAATGATTAGTCAAGCATTTAGGTTTCTCGATCTCCGATTTATTTGACATAGAACTTAATCGAACACATCAATTTAGTTCTGACCGGGCCCGGCACATAAGTCAAATCAAATCATCGAGCTGCCGAGATATCTCTTCTACCCTCTTAGGATAAAATTTACAGATAAACTTCGACTTATATGCATTTACTTATTCAATAATCAACTATACACAACAATGCGTCTTATAACATTGAGGTACCAATGCGTTTTCGCATTATCAATGTACAATCAATTAGCAAAGACTATATGATATTGCCTCCATGGGCTCCTTTATGGCGGGTACAACTCCAAGGTCACCAATGAAGTTTTTCAGCCATATTGCCTCCTTCGACGCTTCACTCGCTGCTATGTACTCTGATTCGCACGTTGAATCAGCTACTATATCTTGTTTGGAACTCTTCCAAGTCACTGCTCCTCCATTTAGGGTAAAGACCCAGCCCGATTGCGAACGGTAGTTGTCCCTATCGGTTTGGAAGCTGGCGTCACTGTACCCTCGCACCTTCAAGTCATCACTCCCTCCGAGGACTAAAAACCATTCCTTCGTCCTCCGAAGGTACTTAAGGATATTCTTCACAGCAATCCAATGTGCTCTGCTAGGGTTCCCTTGATATCTACTAACCATGCTCAAAGCAAAGGCTACATCAGGGCGAGTACAAGTCATAGCGTACATGATTGAGCCAACTACGGAAGCGTAAGGAACTCGGCTCATTTCAGCTATCTCAGCTTCGGTACTCGGACTTTGAGTCTCACTCAATCTGGCATTACTTTGTATCGGTAATTCTCCCTTCTTCGAGTTTTCCATACTAAAACGTTTTAGTACTTTCTCTAAGTAAGTGTTCTGACTAAGTCCAATTAGTCTCTTACTTCTTTCTCTTACTATCCTTATTCCCAAAATGTAAGAAGCTTCTCTGAGGTCCTTCATAGCGAAGCACTTCCCGAGCCAGGACTTAACCTCCTGCAAAGTCGGGATGTCGTTTCCTATGAGTAATATATCATCGACATATAAAACTAGAAATCTTACTATACTCCCACTGGCTTTGACATATACACACGACTCATCTTCGCTTCGTACAAATCCAAACTCTTTGACTTTCTCATCGAAGCAGAGATTCCATCTGCGAGATGCTTGCTAAAGTCCATAAATGGACTTCTCAAGCTTACACACTCTATTTGGATGCTTCGGATCCACAAACCCTTCTGGATGAGCCATGTAAACATCCTCAGCCAACTTTCCATTAAGGAAAGCGGTCTTGACATCCATTTGCCAAATCTCATAATCATGAAATGTGCCAATAGCTAGCATTACCCTAATAGACTTTATCTTCGCAACTGGTGAGAAGGTCTCATCATAGTCAACTCCGGGAGTTTGAGTAAAGCCCTTCGCAACCAATCGCGCTTTATATGTGTGTACCTTTCCATCCACGTCGGTCTTCTTCTTGAAGATCCATTTACAACCAACGGTCTTACGTCCGGGCACATGATCAACCAAATTCCAAAATTGGT